AAGGACGAGGGAGAGGCAAAAAGCCAACAGATTATGATTAGATAAGAGAATTTTACAGTTCTTGAACATAGAAGTGATACATTTCTGGGCACTAGCAAGATTAAAGGGAGAACCTGGAAGTGGCAGTGGGGAGCAAGGAGTATGCCAATAACCTTGCCTCAACCCATGAGCCAGGAGAATGAATGAAGGTGCAGCCAGTGTAATAGAAGGCTCTGTAATCAGGGGAAGCCAGCTTTCAGAAAGAGCCAAGATGGAAGAAGTGGTAGAGGAAAAGATTTAAGATGAAGGGAAGTTTGTTGTTTATGGAACAGACATTCAAGAGGGCACAGTGGAAGAGCTGAGTGTAGTTAGGATAAAAACTGAGAAATAGCCATTAGATTTGATGATTAAGATAAAAACGGTCCGTTTGGAGACAAGAGCTTCAGTTGAATAAGATTGGAACCCAAACTGCAGAGTTAAGAAGGTGAGAGAAAAGGAAGTGGAAGCATGAATCACAGATGGACTTCTCAAGGAGTTTGGTCCTGAAAAGCAGGAAACATATAGAATGACAGTGGGGATCAAATGAAGTTTTTTTTGAGGGTGAGAAAGACATGGATGTATTTTTAAGAACAGGGAAGCTGCCAATAAACTTTGGGGATGATAGATGGCCTATCTGCTGGAAAAGATGGGATGGAATGGGTTCATTTGTGAGTGTAGAGGTTTGCCTTAGCAAGTAGGGGTGAAGGAGAAGGAAGCATCAGAAGGCATATTAGTGATGGAGAAGAGTAGGAAGGAGATGGAAGCTCTTGGCTAATAGCCTCATTTTTTCAGTGAAATATGAAGCAAGATTCTCTGCTGAGAGGGCAGTGTTGGTGGGGGTGAGAAAGGTCCCTAGAAGGTTTGAAGAGGGATGAAAAAGTTTGGAAAAGCTGCTTGGAAGTGTGGCATAGTGAAATCTTTTAGGGAGGTGTAAAGTGAGGATCCAGTCGAGATTTTGTAACTAAATTTGTAGTGGACCCAGTCAGCATGGTTTGAAAGGTGGGCTTCACAGTTTTTAAGTTTCTTACAGATTTGGTTAAATTTGAATTTATCATTCCTTGCTATATGCATGTATTTTTAAATGCACTTAATAACAATCTGGCATTTAAAAAAAAATCCAAATGGTAGGAAGGGAAATGGCAAATGCCCAATATAGTTACATAATAATATGTACTTGTTAAAACTTTTAAGGAGAGTTTAAGTACATTTTGATTTACAAGGAAGAGAATGAGTGAGTATGTGGGTGTTTAAGCCATTGACTAAGAGTATAATCAAACCAGTTTTCCATTAACTTTAATACTTTTAGGTCATGAAAAATGTAATGAATTCCAGAGCAGAAGTAACCAGGAGAATCTAGGCATTAAAGTTCTTGTCTCGGGCTGCCCATAGTATGAGGCACTGGGTGATATAGTCTCAAAGACCTGAGTTCAAATTTGGCCTCAGAAATTTAGAAGCAGTGTAACCATGGGCAAGTCATATAACCTCTATCTGCCTTAGTTTCCTTATCTGTAAAATGAGGATAATAAGAGTATTATCTCCCAGGGCTATTGTGATGATAAAATGAAATAATTTTGGTAAAATACTTTGCAAACCTTAAAGCACAATATCATTGTTGCTGTTGTTATAATGTCTATTAGCCAGCATCATCTTTGAGTAGGGCTATCCCTCAGTGCAAATTGCAAAGTGACTTTGTCCTGTGGCAGCTCCACCCCTGGCCCCTTTTACCAACTTTTTCCTCTATTAAAATCAACAGTTCTCTCCCCAACTTATCCTCAGTCATCCAAAATTTTCTTTCTATTGGGAAGAAAATAATGCAACAAACTAACTTAGCCAAAGACTTAGCTTTGAGGGATCTGAGTTCAAATTCCAGATGTACCAACTGTCTGGACCAATGTGATTTAATAACTCAACCTCTCTGGACTTCAGTTTCTTCTTCTCTGAAATGAGAAGGGTTGGACCAGGATATCACCAAGGTCTCATGCATCTCTACATCTATGATCTATATCAGTGCCTAGGGGGTTCAGGGAGGACTAGTCTCCCTGGTGTGGAAGTTTACCAAGCCATTTTCAGGGCTGCTCATCTCCCTTTAGTGTCCATCTTTCACCTAACTCTCACCTGTGGCTCCAAGAGGCTATAGCATTCACAGCAGTCATACTCTGGTGAAACCATCTCAACAGATGAGTTAAACCAGGTTGAGGGTAACTGATGGGCCTCAGATATGTCAGTGAGTAAGGGAGTTGTCTACCCCAAATATGTGAAGACTTTCCCCAGCAGAATGGGTGGATGAGAACAATTTGTACTAATGGCCACGAAGGTGGCTGAAGCATGCACTGTGGAGCACTTAGAGCTTGGTCAGGCATTGAATATGCTAAGGTCAGCCATCACACTAAGGGCCATCACCAGTCATCCTGACCTGTGTCCTGCCACTGGACTTCAATGACTCAGAAAGAGAGAGTGAGGCTGATGACTTTGTGTGACTCTGCCTCACTTTAATCCAATTCATGCAAAAATCAAGACATCACCAGCGATGCCACTGGTCCTCTTTTTAAACGGACAAACAATATCAATGATCATATGAAGAAGTTAATTACTCCATGTGGTTTCATTTTAAAATCCAACATCTGGAGTCCAGGGCAGGGCTTAGTGATGACTTTAGATATGACTTTCTAAGAGTAGAATTTGAGGTTCTACAGTATGTGAGTGAGGAGGATGTTTGGGTCAGAAGGTGTTATCTGGTAAAGCAAAGATCATAAAGACAAGAGATGGAAGGGACTTCAGAAATGTCCTGCAACCCTGTCATTTTGCAGATAAGGCTCAGAGAAATTTAGTGTCTCCCCAAGATCATAAAGGTAGCAAGAAGCAGAGCCTTTATTTAAACCCTATATTATGACTCCAAATCCAGATTCTTGCCTCTTCTCTCTTAAATGAGCAAGTCTTTCATATGACATAACTTCCCATGTGAGACAGTGGGTTCATAGTAATTAGAATGTTAAAGAATTATGTTCCCTAAGTGGAAATTGCAACTTTTATATAGATATTTCTCACCCCCACACCATTTACATGACTTCAATATGTGCTCATGATTCCTGACTTTCATTTTCCCAAAGATGGTCTAATACAAACTAATTTTACTTTGCTTATCTTTTCCCAGCCAGCAGTGGAGATGCACAATTTAAAACATTTCCTTCTTTGTTCATGCTTTTTTGAAAAAAACTCTGCTCCAAGGAGAGAATCATTTAATATCTGTTGATTGGACAATTGATATTTATACATGTCTAGGCTGATTAATTTTGCAGCCTCAAAACACCTATTGTTTGAGGAAGACAAGATCTGGCTCTAGATTTTGCTATTCTGGTTATATTCAATATGAGTAATTTTTGGAAATCTGTTCTTTCACAAAAAGATATGCTTATTTGCAAATGGTCAAAATTGCCTTGCCTATAAATGCTTGTCACCAGTTTATACTATTTAGATGACTGTATACTGGCAAAACACCTTATCCCTAGGTGTAGCTATCACTATGTTCATAGTGATTCATTTAGAATAGCAATGGTCAAGCAGGGTCCATGTAAGTATTCTGATTTTCTACCATTGGTAGGTATGCTTTAGGGCTAGGTTGTTGTATGTTGCTATGTGCCTTTATTGAAAGAATAGAGTAGTGTGATTGCTAGGCTATTTGCTAATGGTCTTTAAAAGTTTATGGAGAATAGAAAAGGTATGGCAGAAATGGAGAAAGGTTAATGTCCTAATTTTTAAAAAATGAAAATGAATAAAGTCTGCCAGTGATGGTCAATGACCTTGGCTTTAAATCTTAGGATGTATTATTAAAGGGATGGTTAATGAACATCTAGAAAAGGAAGCAGTGATCACAAGAGTACAAAGCATGGCTTTATCAAGAAATGTCATGGCAGAATAATTTTCTTCTCTTTTTTTGACAAGTTAACTAGACTGATCAGGAGAATGCTGCAACTGAAGTTTACCTAGGTTTTAGTGAAGTGTTGGAGATAACCTCTCGTATTATTTTAGTAGAGCATGTGGAAAGGTATGGGCTAGATCAGAGCTCAGCAAACTATGGCCCAAGGGCCCAGCCTGCTCCTTATTTTTTACAGCCCAAAGACTAAGAATGGAAACCATATTTGGTTCTCAGGCTGTGGTTTGCTGAACCATTGGACTATATAATTGCATAGTTATCAGAATTGTATAAAGTCAGACTCAAAGAGCTGACATGGTTAGAGATCAACTTAGAAATGTGTTGCATGGAGATCTGCTTGACCTCATGTTGTTTGACATGTTTTTTTTTTAATGATTTGTATAAACACATAAATAGGATGCTCATGAAGTTAAGCAGAGGATGAGAAGCGATATGTCATAATGCATAAAGATTAGGCTTTGGAGTTTGTAAGACCTAGTTTCAAGTCCTACTTCAGATACATACTGACTCTAGGACACTGGACAAGTAATTGAACTTCTCAGTGCCCCCCAAACAACTCTTTAAAACTATAATTATATGTTGAAAGGGAGATTCTTAATCGAGTATGAGTGGGGTAGACTCAAAGGTTTTAGAGATCCCTTCCAACTCTGAGGTTCTGTGATTCCATCATCTCAGAATCTCTGCTGGGTCTAGCAGAGATCTCTCACCTACCCCTAGGTTCACAGCTTTGTGATATTCACTAGTGTCTAAATTTCCTTTATAAAATGTCCCCTGAGCTGTGGTCACCAACCTATAAAAGCAAAAATATCATAGGATTATAGGATTTTAAGCTAGACAGTACCTTAGGAGTGAATCTAGTCCAACATTCTCATTATTATAGATGAAAAGATTGAAACCCAGAAAAGGATGTAGCTTGTCCAAGATTGACATGGTAGTGGGTTCAGAATTTGAACCCAGGCCCTATGATTATACACCCTATCTTCTTTCCATAGGTTAAAAGCAACAATAGTATGCTTTTACTCTGACATCAGTTTTTCTGTAACATTTCTAGAAATAGACCAACTTCTCAATGTTCTTTGGACCAAAAGTCCCTGCAACAAAAGAGAACAAACATTCCCGAACAAAAGGAGATGGAGAAACTTGACCACTCAAGACTGGGCCTCTCTCAATCTTTCAGCTTCTGCTGGCCTGGATGGAGACCCAAATGACGATACTGCAGCCTGGGACCAGGTACCATCTTTGTTCTTCTTATCCCCAGTGACTGTCAATAAGCAGAAATTACATGGACAAGTCAGAGGGCCAGGGAAGCGAAAGCAAATTTAAAAGGTAGTCATTACATTTTCTTCCATGGGAAAAATGATACAAATTTCACAAGGTCACTTGACCAGTCTTGGAAAGTATAAGAATGGTTTCTTATCCCCACCTGATTTCTCTCTGCAGATGTACGTAAGATTTGAGTTATTAGGAAAAATCACGTACACTTATCCTTTCCTTTGGGCCAAGATATGCACTTGTTATTATCTGTGCCACAGCATATGGCAGTAGAAAGAATGCTGGATTTGGAGACAGAAAAGCTGGATGTGAATTGCAATTCTTCTTTGTACTATTTATATGTGACCTTGGGCAAATCACTTTGCTTTTATGGGTCTCACTTTCCTCATCTGTAAAATGAAAGGTTAGGACTACATGATGTCTAACATCCCCTCCAACTCTAAAAATGTATGATGTAAGTCAGAAATTTTAATGGACCCCAAAGCAGCATGAAACATTTCTCCTTTAAATCTGATTTTTTAGTGATTTGGTTCTAGTCCAGGAGCTCTTAAGCTTTTGTGAATTATGGACCCCTTTGGCAGTCTGGTTAAGCCTGTGGACCCCTTTCCAGCATAATATCTATTGCCCAAATTCATGATTGAAGAGAATGATGTATTTCTGTTTGATGCTAATGAAAATTAAAGTGCAATTTCCCCCCCTCCAATTTCACGGGTCCCGTGAAATCTGTCAATGGGTTTAGTGCCATGCAGAAAGGCAATTGTTAAAATTTCAGTGTGAGTATTTATGCTTCAGCTATCAATAAATGCTACAAACCAGGGCTTGATGTATTGTTTTGTTAGTGGTCTAGATCAGACCTGCACAACTTGTAAGCTTCTTCAGCCATGAATAGGTTAGACTAGGGACAGACTGACAGTGGTTGGCTGCCGTGGGCCATGTGACAAACAGGAGAGTGCACAGTGGCCACCCTACATTTTTCACGGCCCCTGAAATCCTTTGGCAAGTGCCCAGTGAGGGCATAAGTCGTGCAGGTCTGGTCTAGACTTAAGAAAGTGATGGAGAAAATGATAACGCAGATTAAATTTAAAAATTTTTGTATGTATACTCTTTGAGACCCAGTTGTTAAAAATTTATAAGAACACCACAACATGGACCCCAGGGAAAGAATCCTTGTTCTACTATACAATTATGCTTCAGAGATAATCCTTATGGGAGAATTCAGCTAGCCTTCCTTCATACATTGTGTGAGAGGGAGACTTCTGTTTGGACTTCCACCAAAGTCTTCCTCTGCTGCTTACTCAGTGCATGGAAGTGACCCTGGATTCTTGAAGGCCGTGCTAGTGGAACTGAAGCTCTGGTAGGTCCTACCAGCCTGGGAAAATCTCCCAGTCAAGGCCTTGTTCAGGACTGTGGCCATTGTTGGGAGGGTAGCCTCTGTAAATTTGGAGAAGCTCATCACCACTTAGGCCAAAAGATGATAAATTTTTTTGGCCATAGCAGCTCTAGAATATTGAGAATTATCACCACCTACATCAGTGGAAGAAAGATCCATGAGGTACTGAAGTGAGGCATCTGTGAGCTCCATTGCATAGAAAGAACAATGGGTCCAGTTGATACTTGGGCCAAATGCACTATGACCTTGTGGTCCAATGATATTAGCGGGCCATGGGCAGAGACAGAGGGCATTCATTCTAATGGGCTTTGCCATATGGAGACATAAGGCACTTGATGCTCTAGCAAGATTTTCTACGTTCTTTGTTTTTGTTTTTTGTTTGTTTGTTTGTTTTTAGGCAATTGGGGTTAAGTGACTTGCCCAGGGGCACAAAGCTGGTAAGTGTCAAGTATTTGGTCTGAGGTCAGACTTGAACTCAGGTCCTCCTGACTTCAGGGCCAGTACTGTATCCACTGCACCACCTAGCTGCCCCTATGTTCTTGTTTGTAAGACTTTCCTGCATCTACCAAATGTGAAAAACAATTTGCTTGATGGCTTTCCCATTTGCATAGAGATCTGTGGTTACTTCATAATGTTTAGAGAGTCTCTAAGGAATGAGACACTCTAAAGAAAGTCCACATATATATGCATATATATTACATATATATAATTAGAGATTCTATATATATTGTATTAGAGAATAGATATACATGCATGTATACATACGTACATATTTACAAGTATACGTATTTGGCCCAGACCTGTTATTTTATCGGTGTGTAAAGCCCCAAGAATTTCCTTTACTGAGTCCCATTGGCACCTTCTTTACCATTAGTTTAGAGAGCTGCCTACAGCATTGAGAGATTAAGTAATTTGCCCAGGTTCACGCAACCAGTCTGTAGACAAAGGCAAGACTTGAACCTAGAACTATCCTGCTCTGACGCCAGCTCTGTAGTCAATGTGCTATGCTTACTCACACACAAACACATACATACATACATACATACATACATACATACATACATATGTAGTTCCTCTAGGCTTTTTCTGTGCAAATCCATTCATTTTTAAGGAAAAAAACCCTAACTTTTTTGGGTAATACAAACACTGATATTAAACAATTCAATTCAGTAGTTTAAGAAAACATTTATAAAGCACCTACTATGTGCCAGGGACCATGCTAAGCTCTGGAGAAACAAAAACAAAACAATCCCAACCCTCAGAGAGCTTACATTCTTTCTGGGGGTAGAAGGAGAGTGGGATATGCCATTAATACAAATGAGTTAATAACATGAGGTAATTTGAGGAGGAGAGTGTTGTGACCACTTGGGATCTGTAACGAAGTGCATCTAACATCAGAGGCTAATGCCACTTGGAAGGAAAAGTCGCTAAGCAAGCAGGTCCTTCCAACGACAGGAAGAAGCACACATTTTCTAAGCCTAAATTCTGTGAACAGCATGTGCTGAACAACAAATGAATCTCAGAGATCAAGACCTTTCTCTGTGAAATAAGCACCCAGTGCTTTCAACCAGGCAGACCCTCGTGCAGATGCTCTGGTTCGATTATTTATTTTTTTCCTTCTGGCGATTGGGGTTAAGTGACTTGCCCTGGGTCACACAGCTAGTAAGTGTCAAGTGTTTGGTGTGAGGCTGGATTTGAACTCAGGTCCTCCTGATTTCGGGGCCAGTGCTCTATCCACTGCGCCTCGTAGCTACCCCTTCTGGTTCAATTTTTAAAGTCTAGCATCCCCATTTCATTAACAATAGACTAGACTGAAACAAAACCTCTTCACTCCTGTGTTCTCTGGGCCTAAGCTAAGAACCATCTCTTCCTGCTGTCAGCAGGTCAAAATCTAAAAACTTCATTGCACGAAGGAAAAAAAAAAGTCGAAATCTGCTTAGTTTTACATAAGTGAATTGAGACGGGGAGGCGTCTGATTTATCGTCCCTATCATCAATGCTCTGGCAGACTCGGAGTAGTCAGTGTGACATCTCCACATGGCATGGCATGAACATGCAAACACTTTTGCTCCGTAGCCTGAGTAACCCTCTGGGTGCCCCTTCTGACCTACTCTGTGACCAAGTCTAGAGTTAGGAGGCAAGCCCTGAGCAGCCTGCCAGTTTGAATTAGGATGTAAGGGTTTAAGTCTTACACAGAAAGCAGCAAACCTAAGCCTGGCATATGCACGTCTTTTGAAGTTTCTCATAAAACTTCATATGGAATAGAGAACTTCATATGGAATTCTTCAAATTCAGTATTCCAAAGAGGTCTGGTTTCATCTAGTGCTCAGAAGTAGTCTGATACAATAAACAGAGAGCTGGTCTTAGAGTCAGGAAGACCTTGGTTTGAGTCTTGCTTCTGACTCTAATGTGTAACCAGGGGCAAGTCATTTAAGCTCCCTGTAAATGGAGATAATAGTACAGACGATATCTTCTCACAGAACAGTTCAGAAGCTCAAATGAGATAGCATCTATAGGGTGTCCCAAAAGTCAAAGAGCAGTTTTAAGTTATTAAAGTTTAATACTGAATGGAAAATGCAACCAGGACAGTCCAGTAGATAGTTATGTAGCTATTTCACCAGTAGGTTGATTACAGTCAGATCCAGAAAGTGTCCCTGGTGCTAATTTTTAAGCTTTAAACTGCACTCTGACTTTTGAGACACCTTGTATCAGGCCCTTTATGAATCTTAAAATCCTATGTAATTGTTAGCTATTATTATCCATATGTGTATTCCAACTTCCTCTGTATATCACAACTTTCCATACTTTTCATGAATTGCTATGACCAAAAAAGCGTCCACCAGTGGTCATCAACTTTCTATTGATGGGAGGCTCTAAACTTAGCGAGGCTGGTTTTCTCATAAAAAGATATGTCATCAGGTGGGCATTCTGCTGGTATCGCCTTTGTGAAGCCAGGACCTTCTCCATGCCATGATGAAGCACGTGGAAAGTGGAAAAGTTCCTATGGAATAAAGCAATTATAACAAGATGCATTTGAGTCAAGATAGCAAAAAACTGGTACACTTCCGTGCTGGCTGTGTTTGGAGGGACACTCAGGTGCCACCAGGACTAGAGGAAAATCACAGAAGGGTAGTAAAAGTTATTAAAGGGTGCCAAAAATTAGGATGGGGTTGGTGTATTGGCTTTGATGTGGACAGGAACTGGACACTGTGGGATTGATAGAAAAGAATATGTTAGTGGGAGCAAAAGGAGTAGAAGAGGCAAAGAGGGGCATTTATCTTGGCCATGCATCTCCTTGCTCTAAATAGATGACTGGGATGAATGACATTGTCAGGGTCCCTGCCTTAAGTGGGTGCTGCTAAGGCCACATGAATGCAGTATACCCCCATTCAGGGAGACAGTGAGGCTGACGCTGTAATAACAGATTCAATCTATTGACTAAACTGTTGCAGCTGAACTGGTTTCCATTTCGGCTCATGGAGAAGGATATGTCTCAGCATGAGTGAGTAATCTATCAAAGGACATTTTTACTCTTTGTTGTTGCCAGTTTATTTTATTTTGTTACAGTT